CAAGCGGATGGCCGGGGGAATGCGGTGACGACGATGACGCTAAAGGACGATATCTGCGGGAGTACGAAAAAACCAAAGGTATTGTTCTCGATAAGCATAACATCGCGCTGAACCCCGGTTTACGTTCGGTTGCAAAACTCTGTTTAAATTTATTTTGGGGAAAATTCGGCCAGCGGGCCAATTTGCCGAATACCGAGGTTGTGAGAACGCTGCAACGTTTTCTGACATTACTGACGAGCGCCGAGCATGAGATAACCGATATATTACCCGTGAACGACGAGGTAATATATGTTTCGTGGCGATTGCGACAAGAGGCCGTCACGCCCTCACCTATACAAGAGGCTGTCCCCTATAACTAATGTTGCGATAGCGGCGTATACGACGGCTCAAGCGCGCTTAAAATTATATGAATATTTAGAACGCTTGAACGCTTACGTGTTATATTATGATACTGATTCGTGTATATACGTAAGCACAGGTAAACCGAATGAGTATGAACCGCATACGGGAAATTTTCTGGGTGACATGACGGACGAGCTCGAAAGCTACGGTCGTGGTAGTTATATCGAGGCGTTCGTGTCCGGTGGCCCAAAATTTTATGCCTATGTTGTTCGTATGCCGGACGGGCGTACGCGTGAATGCTGTAAAGGATAGGGCATAACCCTAAACTATGAAAACTCTCGGTTGGTTAATTTTAACAGCATTAAGAATTTATTATTAAATAAAGAGAGAGCACAGGAAAATGAAAAGAACGGAGAAGAATTGTCGAAAACTTCGATAAATCTATGCTTTAGAGCAATTCGGCGTACAGCGTTTCACGAAATCGTAACACGCGACGAAACTAAAGTATGCGCACCCGTATTACTAAAGCGTAGATTTATCGATAGTCGAAATTCGCTACCGTATGGTTATGTATTTGAACAATGATTTTTCTATTTTTTTCTCGACTATCTCTTTTATCGCAATATTATGTAATATAATTTCGTGTACTTTTCGCAGCGGTGAAAATAATTTTTTTGTAAATAAATATTGAATTATATGTAAATTTTTTATTGTATATTATATCATATTCCCTCGATATATAAATAAAGATGTTTTTTATTTTAAAGCAACCAGGTGCGAAAATATTTTTCTTCCCTTCCTTTCTTCCCGGCGTCTCTGTGACGTCATAGCCTCAGTCCTAAGCCTCAGCGTCAAACAGTCTCAGGTACCCGTATATATTTCAAGACCCTTTCTATCGTCTCCAGCGATGCTGTTACCGTATGTCTACCTGTGCAGCGGGACTCGCCCGCTCGGACAAGCGTACCCGTACATGCACGCACGTGTTCGTTACCACTTTATAGCATCTAGTTTATTCTAGCGGTACCTTATCCAATTTTTCTCTTTTCAACAGGAAGGGTGGAAGAGGGTGGGCGACATATAGCGTACATCTCCCGGTTTTCCTCTAAAAGGGGCGATGGGGCGAAGTTGTATACCGCACAATATCTTTCGGTTTTCCGTAAGGGGGAGGGGAGACTGAGTGCCTTATGCCTAGACGCATCTCCAGTCTCGACGGTCGCCATTTTGGCGGATGCCGTCACGTTTACTTTCCGTCAGACATCTTGCCCGCTTTCTCCCACGCACTATTTTTTGGCACGTTTTTCCATCCCACTTTAAATCGACGGAACCGACGGAACCAATCGGAGGACTGGGCACTATGGGGAGAACCAATCGAACCGTCAGGACCCCTATCTTAGCGGTGGACTACTCTCCACACAAATACTATGTTTAACTTCTATTCTAATAAGTTTTCAGCTAGCCCAGCATACTAGGACCCTGTTTGGAGAGGTGGAGGACCCAGGTTCGAGCCCAAGCATGTTCACGCAACCGGAAAAAATAAAAAAATAAAAAAATTTAAAAGGAAATAAATTTAAGGGGTAAAAAATTTTTAAAAAATTTAAAAAATTTAAAAGGAAAAATTTAAAAGGAAAATTGTCTCGTAGACGTCCACGAGTCCCCTCCATTTTTTTTTCCATAGACACCTTTAGGGGGGAGGGCCCCAGACAGTCACAGCAGGGGGTCGGCGCCAGTGGCTGAGGAGTGGGGGTTTGTTTTGACGCCCCATAGTGCCCACTATCTACTAATTATATTATTATATTGTATTATTATATTATTAT